AGTATGTTGGCAGTCCTCCCCCCCAACACTTTCTCATTTTCCCCCAAATAAATAAAATATATTTATTTTAGGGATAGCCAGGACATTTTGCTTTTGATGAAGGACAAGATGTTGTCAATTCTTACCATTCCTCCCATTCCACCTACAAAAGTTGGCTGGACTGAGAGATGATTCTTAATGTTCTACTGACTATGGTACAGCATCCTGTACTATGGATGATGGCAGCAGCCTAACTTAATGGGGTAGGCCAAGCCCTATGGCAAAAGCAGTACCATTCTTCAGCCAAGGCCAGATTAAGGCATACTCAGCCCATGAGCTATGTTAATTTACAATCCTGAAGTTATGTTGTTCTTGTTGTGTGCCATCACATTTCTTCCAGTTTATGGGGGCCTTAAGGCAAACCTATCACAGGGTTTTCTTGGCAAGATTTGTTCAGAAAGGTTTGCCTTTGCTTTCATCTGAGGCTGAGAGAGAGTGACTTGCCTGAGTGGGTTTCCATGGCTGAGCAGGGATTTAAACCCTGATCTCCAGAGTCATAGTCCAGCACTTAAACCACTCCACCATGCTGGTTCTTGTAATATATTTAATGTGTAAACAAATCATCTGGCACTACCTCCAAAACCTCAAAGCTGCTCACTAGATTTTGTTGTTTGAAGTTGCTGTTTCCCTCTGCGTAATGATAGGGCTGGCCCTGGTTAATCTCCATACAAAATGGTTGAAGGGTAGACAGACACAAAAGGGGGTTGGGGGCCCTCTCACCCTTGTCATGCAAGCTATGTTTCCTGAAATCTTCTCTACAACTAACAAAAGCCCATGAGGTCTGTTTCCTTTCGCACCTGGAGACAGCCTTCTAATAAGGCATTACATATTTTATAAAAGGAAAATCAATCACCTTATTCTACAACTCTTTTCCTAAAAGCTTTTGTTGAATGACTTTTCTGCAAGAGTTTCTGAAAAATGAGTGTACAATATATTGACAGGTTGGCTCCTACTCATATTGTTGTTGGCACTCTGAGAAAGCTTTAGGAAGCACAGCTTTTCTTTATGAAAGGAGAGTTGACTTTCACTCTCCAAACCATGTTTACCTATTGACTAATACTGCAACCCAGTTCTTTATTGTAGTGCAACTACTAACTGGATTTGCCAGTTGAGGCCTTTTGGGCAAAACCTTTATCAAAACACAGCCATCTTCTAGAACAGTGCAAAACTCTCCATCATCAGACTGCATCCATCTTAGAACAAGGGTTCCTGACTCTTCTTAGCATTCCTATGCCATCTCTATGTGACACAAATATAAATGGGTTTTAGTTGTCATGGTTTTTGTCACAATAAACCATGGAAATGAGTTTCTGGGGAGAATGACTACATGTTGCCAAAAAGAAGAAAGGCATCAACTAAAGGGATGGCAAAAGAGGGCACAGATTTGCATAAAATATGCATATGCCAATTTACATGGACAGATCAAATGTAGAAACAATGGTTGTTTAAAAAAGAAATATAGCAATCTCATCCTGTGGATTGTGTGCCTGCTCAGCCTGCTGTCCAGGTGTTATAACTGTTGATGGGTGACTTGAAAACCCCTGCTGCTCTCCCTGTTTTTGGTTTATGATCTTTAAACCAGATGATCTGACAACCCTTCAACAGAAAATGCTTTCAAACTAAGAATTAGGAATTTAATTCTTTGATAATTTCACTCTCAAAGGAAGAAAAATATAATTTTAGTAATTTCTTTCTGACTGTGAGAAAGTCTTTGAAAACTGCATAGTTTTCAAAGGCTATTCACAATTTGAGACTTATTCTGCACAAAATTCACACACATTATTTTTGCACTGAAAACAATGGCTGGAATCCTGTATACTTAACTAAAGTAATCTTTTCTGCTTTGATCCCCCCAAACCTGATGCAAACCTGATCATTTTATGCCCTAGTAGTCAGCAGAATGGGTCCCTTTCTCTGTGAGCAGTTGATGTAAAGTAGGTTGAGGGGGAGCGGAGTTACAGTAATGGCTATAGTGTCACAATCAAGACTAAAGTAGCAATCATGAATATGAAACAGTTATGGATGAGTAAAACTAGGTACCTGTTTGTATTCACAATCACTACTTAATCATGATTGTGACACTCCATTTTTATCACTATTTCCATGAACTATACCAGTGGGGATCCCACACCAGGTGTCACCTGGTGTGTGTGTGTGTGTGTGTGTGGATTCCTGGGGTGGTGGGACTTCTAGTGGGCAGGGTCACAGGGGAGCAACCATGCGAGCTGGAGGAATGACTGTGTGGGCAAGAGAAATGGCCATGCAGGCAGGGGAAATGCCACACGGGGCTGGGGAAATGGCTGCATGGGACACAGAAATGGCTGTCCACTGCCTGCCTGGGCCAGATGCCCCCCTGAGGCTTACAGTGGCCCCCGTGTGGCTCCAAGGGGAACCAGCACAGGCCCAAGGAGTGCATGTGGGGGGTGGGGGGTCCGACCGGATGTCATCCCTCCTCTTCTGGGTGTCACCCAGTGTGGCCTGCACCCCCTTCACCCCCCCCCAGATGCCATGATACAGGACTCATGCCAGTCTTTTCTGTGCAGAGAAGGTTAAATATCTCACAAAACTACAAATTCTAGAATGCCATTGCATTGACCATGGCAGTTAAAGTGGTGTCAACCTGCATTATTTCTGCAATGCAGATACAGCCCATGACTTAATTTGACATCTGAACCTGGAGGCATGGGTTACTTCTGGCTGCCTACTCACAAACAGGACCTGGCAAAAGGGAAAGGAGAGAAACAAATATGAAATTGCTTTGTTAGCTCACCTTTTGTGTATATGTAACTCAAGCAACAAACCATGGTTAAGAGAAACTGTGGCTTCTTGTTGAATGTATCCAATAGATCTTTAACCACTGTCTGGTGGGTAGAGAATATCTGTTTTTATTAGTGGGGATATTGCTGTCATCTGACACTCCCCTCAGCTTTCCCTCTTTCCTCTGAATTTATCTGTAATCCTCACAGTAAGTATAGGACTAAGGGAAAAGAGGGACTTTCTTATAATACTATATTGTTGTGAGCTAACCCTGTAATGATGCAAAGTATTTTAGCATAGTTTGAGGTACATCTACACTGTAGAAATAATGCAGTTTGACCCCACTTTTACTGCCATAGCTCCACCCTACAGAATGGAGGTTTACAAGCTCTTTAGCCTTCTCTGTCTAAGAATGATGGTGTCTCACAAAACTATAAATCCCAGGATGTTGCAAGATGGAGCCATGGCAATTAAAGTGTCAGACTGCATTATTTCTACAGTGTAGATGCACCCTAAGTCCTGACTTGGGAAGATTCTCATTAGTCCAGGATTCTCCTCATAAGGGTTTTATGTAATTCAAGAAACATATTTTTCAACCATTTCCCCAAATATTTTTGAATATTCTTTCCATCTCTACTGAGAACTATCCTTGTTAAAGATGGAAAATGGCCTCCTTGATGTTGCAGCAAATCTAAAAAGCTCTGACAGAGATTGTACACCATCTTCAGAAAGCTATAATTTAGAAGGCTGTTTAGGAAGCCTTTAAGGAATCTGATATTTGCTTTGGGAGGAGAAAAATTTCCATACTGGCACCAGCCTGAGCTTTTTCCCCAATGCACATGCCAGCTTTAAAAGAGGGATTTTCCTCAGGACCAAAGCAGGTCTGGAAATGGTTACATGTCTTACCTCTGTCTACTTTAATGCCATTAATAATTAGGCATAGGAGTGTTTCTTTTAATCATTTGCATTTTATAACACCTGCAAGTTAAATGCAAAGATAAATGTAAACTCATGTGTGGTTTGGTCCTGAGAGAACAAGACGGCTCCTCACTGAATTTTTTTTTTATGGAGTAGGGATGTTGGTTTGTTGTAATATGGGAAAACATTTGAACATAGCATTCCCCATCTGCATTTTGAAGTGGCACAGTCCCAGGAAGAGTGCAACATATGCGTCCTCTGAATATTTTAATATCTTTGCAGGCTTTGGTATTAGAGAATCACTCTTAGTATATACTTGTACAAACTCAAAATAATGGTAGACTCATTAGAGGGAAAACAAAATGAATAAGCTGAGACTCTTATACTCTGGACATATCATGAAAGGTGATGCGAATCATTGGAAAGGTGATAATGCCTGCTAATACGGAAGGCAATAGGAAAAGCAGAAGGCCATGTTATAGGTGGATTGATTCAAACAAGGAAGCCATAACCCTGAAATCTTGAGTTTGCAAAACCTGAGTAGGGCAGTTGATGACCAGGGCTCTTGGAGATCCACCATTTATAGGGTTGACATATGTCAAAGTTGACTTGATGGCAAATACAACATTAGACTGATATAGATTGGGTCCTACTTTACAAAGTATGGCTCTCCTTTTGAAGGTGTCCACTCTATGAAGGTCTGTTCAGTCCATGTTCAATTTAGAGATGCAGTTTCTAGATAGCTGGCCTCAGAACCCTTCGGATCTTTGGGACCTTCCTTCAGGATTTTACTATAATTTCCTCTAAAGTTGATCAGCAGGGGATTGTTGTTTTGTTGTTTTGTTGTTTTTAATTGAAGTTAAGTTTTTATTGATTAATTACTGCTCAATTGCAGTTGTTTTAAACTGTATCTGATTTAATAACTTTTTAAGGGGGGAGGAGGGAATGATATTGTCTTAACTTGCTTGTATTTTATTATTGTTGTTCACCGCCTAGATTGGTTTTCCACTGGGGCGGTATATAAATAAATTATATTATTATTATTATTATTATTATTATTATTATTATTATTATTATTAGAGATGAAGATCCATAAGAAAAGATAGCAGTAGCATTTCTAAATTTGCAGGCATCTTCTTTAAGACAGCACACACTCATTTTATACAAATCATGTCTCCTCTTTTTGGGTGAGACATTTCCTTGTTTTGAGGAAAGGAATAATACATAACTGATCTTTCTAAAATGGTCACTTTCAGGAGATCTGAACAACGATGATGGCTTAGAAGTGATGGTCTCTAAGTGTTCAGTGTATTTCTGCTGTTAGTGCAATGTACCAGAGATACATGCATTCAGAGCCTGATCAGTGGCTGCATAAATCATGGGAAAGTGGTGCTGGAAGTGGTGCAAACAGGTGCTAAAGGGGCCTTTGTAGCTGTAGCATAAGCAGAAGAGAGTGGAGCAGAAGGAAATGAGTCGTAATTGGAATGAACTTTCCACAACATCCTTCCACTTCAAGAATGAGATCATACTTTAGACCTCCCTTGAAATTATTAATCCTAACCCTCCAGAATTCTTAATCTGGACTAATTATTACTCCCACCCTCCCTGCTGATTTGAACCAAGCCAAAACTTGACTCATCCTACTGTTGACCTGATTACCCTTTGCTTTAAGCATGTAGTGTGAGAGGATTTCATTGAACATCTTAAACAGCACTTCCTAGAAATTCAGTTTGAAGGCCAGATACTAACAGCAAAGCCACAGCATAAGACCCTTCTATGTGCAGCTGCATGACTAATGCAGGATGTATGACAAATGTTTTGGTACTGTCACGAAATGAAAACCTCCCTGCTAA